AAGGGATGGGAAGGGTAAACAAAGGAGGAGGCTGCAATGCTTGGTAAGAAATGTACGCATTATCCTGCCCATGCAATTGTAACCCCTCTGTACAGTATATTCACAAATAAAATAAAATTAAATTAAAAAAAAAAGATGTTAAGCAAAATGAACCGCAAGATAAGGACACAAGTGATTTTTCCTTTCTTGCTATTGTTTCTAACATATTTATCAGGTACCATGTGATTTTTTTGTTGCTTTGTATGTCCCTCCCCCATGGTATAACCCCTGCTTTCACTGTATTTGATGGTATAATTTGGGGAGGGGAAGGGAAGATACCAATTGTTTAAATAGGGATACAGGTTGACCCATTGCAAAAATGAGATGTACAAGATGTACAAGACACTATGTTGAAAAATGAACTTTTACAATTTAGGCAGGGGTGGAGGGGAGTGTAGTTGTGGAGATGGGAAGGGATGGTAGGGGAAAAACAAAGGAGGAGGCAACAATGCTTGATAAGAAGTGTACTCATTGTAACCCCTCTGTACAGTATTTTCACAATTAAAAACTTATTAAAAAAAAAAAGAGAGAGAGACAGACTCTTATCTCTAACCAGCCAAATGCTGGAAATTGCACTGTGGCTCAGAGTGGCGAAAGATGGTGGGGATGGTGCCCAGGCCTTGAGTTCAGACCCAATGACTGACAAAAAAGATGCTAACTGGAACAAGCCATCCCAGCAATGAGCTTACTTCCAGGATAAAGCCCACCCTGACAATGAGGAATCATAGAGAAGAGTGAGAGGGAATGGTGTCACATCCTAAATGGAGCCAACTCTGCACTTGTTCTTTCAAAATTCATTATCGCCAGGAGATAAAGAGAAATAGTTAATAAGTTTGCCCATGTAATGTCCATACCTGTCTACCTTCTAACTGGACAGGAACTGACATTCTTGTCTTTGTTACCCACTATCTGTATTTATAGTGAGTCTTAGACTGAGGACAGTTAGCCTTGGCAGCTTCCTGGGCCTCTCTTCCAACTCTATACTCCAGATCTCTATCTGCCAAGCCCTCCTGTTGGGCCCTTAACCACTCCCATCCAGCCCTAACCTCTGACTGGTTATTCTCAACATGCTCCATCATGCTCTCCTCACTCAGTTCCCAAAATCCCTAGACACTCCCTTCCTGCCCCTAGACTAGTTATATGGAAATTCCTCTTTCCCTGTAATGGGCCACAACTGGGCTTATGCTCCAAATCTAACTTTTCTGCTTGTGCCTAAGGTGTGCTTTCCTGTGCCATTCCTATCAACTGCTCCTGCCACCTTGTCAGTCTTTTGCCTGATCTCACCTATTCAAAAGTTTGTCTTTAATAGTCCTTATTCAGGATACCACCTGGGAGCAAGTCTACACCATCCTATTACTGCAGATAAACTGCCCTGCCCAATGTAGATCTGAAGACCCCAGCCCCGGTGATTCCTTAACACCCCATGCCAGCAGAAAGTGGCCAGAAAAGATTATGATGCCCATTGGCTCTGGAGGTACTTCTGGAACAAGCCAGAGGTTTCACCAACCAAACTGGTAACGAGATGCTCCTATAAGGTGGGCACAGAGGCTGCAGTCAACTTTCCACCCATGAGTCCAGTGGATGCAGGACCTTCAGGAGATAATCCCATAGGATCATCGCCCCTTTTCAGCAGGAAACAGATTCAGAAGAGGGACTACTGCCCCATGTCCCAGCTGATAACAAACAAAAGAAGGTGGAATACTGGCTGAGGTAGTTATTCTGTGGCAGCAGACATCCTAGTGGCTTAAGTTCCTCCAGACTGTCTGCATATCAAGGTCTCCCTGACATGACCCAACCACAAACACCAACCCCCTTACCATAAATTTCCCTGACTACGCAGTTGCCAACTTCCTCATTCTTACAGACACTCCCCCCATAACTACTCCTCTAGCTTTATAGCAGGTGCAGGAAGCAGCCTGTCACTTTTATGACATTAAACCTTTTTTCCCCTCTTGGATGTGTGTGGTGTGCTTTATTTAGGCAGTTGAGACATATAATAGAAACGCCTCTCAAACTTAACACACCAATTACTAAATTGAAAAGGAAGCTAAGAAGAGTCTTCTCAGAAGAAAAGGTAAGAATAAGAAAGAGGCTGGGAATGTGGCATAGTGGTAGAGTGCTTTCCTAACATGCATGAAACAGTGGGTTTGATTCCTCAGTACCATGTAAACAGAAAAGCCAGAAGTGGCGCTGTGGCCCAAGTGGTAGAGTGCTAGCTGTCAGCAAAAGAAGCTCAGGGACAGTGCCTAGGCCCTGAGTTCAAGCCCCAGGACAAACAAAAACAAAACAAAATAAAGCATAAGGCAAAGAAACATATGAGGAAACATTCATCATCCCTGGTCATAAAGGAAATGCAAATCAAAACAACCCTGAGACTCAATCTCACCCCAGTAAGATCAGCCATCATTTTGAATTCTGACAACAAATGCTGGTGAGGATGTGGGGAAAAAGGAACCTTGTCACACTGCTGGTGGGAATATAAACTAATACAACCACTCTAGAAAGCAGGCTGGAGGTTCCTCAAAAGAACTAAACATAGACCTTCCCTACAATCCAGCCATACCACTCCTAGGCATCTACCCTAAGCAGCATGAGCCGGGATGTAATATGGACACCTGTACCTCCATGTTCACTGCTGCACTTTCACAATAGCCAAGATATGGAAACAACCCAGATGCTACAAAATAGATGAGTGGATCCTATATACAATGAAATTTTACACAGCTATTAGAAAGAATAAAATAATGTCATTTGAAGGGAAATGGATGGAACTAGAACAAATCATGTTAACTGAGGTAAGCCAAAATCAGAGAGACAAATAGCATATGTTCTCCCTAACATGCAGAAGTTAGATCTACAACACAATGGGACATGACAAATTACACAGAATTCTAAATATTCACAGTGAGACCAAAGAAGGTTAGTCTTAGAAAATCACAAAGATATAATACCCAAGTGCCTCTTCATATGCATATAAAATAATATACATACTAAAACGAAAATGAACTCCAATGATAGGGAAACAAAGGGGTTTTTGTATTTGTTCTTTCTCTTTCTGATGACTCTGTATTCTTTACCTTATATGGTATACTCATGTGCACATCTGTGGAACAATGGGGGAAGGGCACTGATTCAGAGGAAAAAGGGTAAAAAAGTACAGCAGTGTAGTGCACTGACTGTACTGGACATTGATAAAAGTGAACTATGTGAACTGTGGGAGGAGATGGGAGGTAGGGAATGGAAGAGAATGAGAAAACATAATACGATGTGAAAGGAAATGTACTTATTACCTGACATATGTTAAAGTGAGCCCACTATATATCATCTTCAAAACAATAAATTAGAGGGGCTGGGAAGGTGGCTCATTGGTAGAGTGCTTGCCTCGCAGGCATGAAACCCTGGGTTTGATTCCTAAGCACCACATAAGCACAAAAAAGTTGAAGTGGTGCTGTGGCTCAAGTGGTAAGGCACTAGCCTTGAGCTGAAGAGCTCAGGGACAGTGCCCAGGCCCAGAGTTCAGGTCCACAACCGACAGCAAAAGAATATATAAATATGACTTTATTAAACTAAAAATATTTTTATGCTTTATTAAAAAAAAACAAAAAACAAAAACTAGGGTGCTGCTAGCTGTAATTCTAATAACTCAGAAGGCTGAGAGCTGAAGGACCACAGTTCAAAGCCAGCCTGGGCAGAAAAGTTCATTTCCGAAATAACCAAGAAAAAAAACAACAAGCCAAGCTGGAGGGTACCCCAACTGGTAGAGTACTAGTTGAGCAAGTACAAGAATAAAAACTAAGTACTGGAAGAAGGAAAAGAAAGGGGGGGGGGGAAGGGAGGGAAAGGGAGGAGAAGGAAAGGGAAGAGAGGGGAAGGGTGGGAAAAGGAGCAAGCCAGGCACTAGTGCCTCACACCTGTAATTGTACTCAGGAGGCTGAGATCTGAGGGTCCTGGTTCAAAGCCAGCTTGGGCAGAAAAGTTATGTGAGACTTATTTCCAATAAACTACTCTGAAAAAGCCGGAAGTGATGTTGTGGCTCAAACAGTAGAACACTAGCCTTGAGCAAAAGAAGCTTGGGGACAGAGCCTAGGCCCAGAGTTCAAACCCCAGGACTGGCAAAAAAAATAAAAAATTTTAGAAGAAGAAAAATGGACTGGGAAGGTGGCTCAGTGGTAGAGTGCTTGCCTTGCATGCATGAGGCCCTGGGTTCAATTCCTGACTACCATATAAGCAGAAAAAGCTGTGGCTCAGGTGGTAGAGCACTAGCCTTGAGCTGAAGAGCTCAGGGACATTCCCGAGGCCCAGAGTTCGGGCCCCACAACCAACAACAACAACAAAAAAGAAAAGTCAATCTATAGAATCAGAAAATAATTACAAATCAGATTTTGACAAGGAATTAGTATTCAGAATGTTTAAAGCTCTGAAAGGACAAATGGAGAAAAATAAAATTATACATAAAATCCAGGCAAACTTTTCCAAAAAAGATATATATAGAATGTAACTTACTCTAGCTGGACCCACACCAACAAACATCTCCAAAAACTCAGATCCACTAACAGTGATGAAGGGGACATTGGCTTCTCCAGCTGTGGCCTTAGCTAGCAGTGTCTTCCCAGTGCCTGGAGGACCAGTAAGAATGGCACCCTTAGATTAAAAAAAAAAAAGAAATTACATTAATCAGAATCTCAGAAAGATAAATTGCATAACCATAATAATTCCACTAAGCATTTCTAAATCACTGAGCATTTCTTCAATATCTGAACTTTGTAGTAGTAAGTGGAGCTATGGTTCAACTGGTAGAGCAATAGTCTTGAACTGAGCCTTGGCTCAGGGACAGTGCCCAAGCACTGTTCACTGTTTACTGCTCCATTATTCACAATAGCCAAGATATGGAAACAACCCAGATGCCACAAAATAGATGAGTGGATACAAAAAATATAGTATCTATATACAGTGGAATTTTACACAGCCATTAGAAATAAAATAATGTCATTTGCAGGGAAATGGATGTAATGAGTTCAAGCCCCAGGACACCCCATAGCCGGCCAACACAGACACACAAAATAAAATGAGGTAAAATTAGTACAAGTGTTACAGAAAATCTTAACTATTTCTAACATTTTTAGTTGGGATAGTGTTATAACTCACTGATACTTGAATTAGGCAGAAACCAAGTTAAGAAAAAGGAAATGTCAACATAAAATGCCAACTTCAAAGCTGAAGAAATACTTCAAAGATTTTTTTAGTCTTCTGAAAGTTCATTTTACCTTTGGGATTTTTGCTCCAAGGTCTTGATACTGCTTGGGGTTTTTCAAGAAATTCACAAATTCCATGATTTCTAGCTTGGCCTCCTCACAGCCTGCCACATCTTTGAACTTCACATCTACCTCATCTTTTAAGACCTTGGCTGTAGTTTCCCCAACACTGAAGAGTCCACCCATCCCTCGGCCAGTTCGACCAATGCCGGCAGGTCCTCTTCTTAAGGTGTAGAGTAGGAAAGCGATGATGAGCACCGTCGGGAGCATGCTCAGGAGGAAGGATCTAGGGGAACAAGGCATAAATCAAGGCATAAATCCATGTTTCTAACTCTGACTAGCAAAGAATTTCATAACTGCTTCAGATATGATTGCAAACATTTATTTTCTTTTAAAAAAATTACAAGAGAATCACAAAGAGAAAACCCATTTTCAACTTGTTCTTCCCATCTTATTCCTAGCCCAATAACCACCATTTAAACTAAGTTACTAGTCATTTTCTTTTTCATCTGGTCAAAGAAAAGCCCGAGAATCTAGTATATAACCCTCTACCTGGTAACACAGGAAAGTGAATCATATTAGTGTGCACAGCAAACAGTGACCACTGAGTTACTTCTTACCCATCACTTTCAGCAATGTAAATAACAGGAACTCGATTTTCCCCTTCTATGCCCAGTTCTTGCTGCAGAGTTTCCAAATTCCGCTCAAAGGTGTCTACACTGCCAATGTTAAACCAGACGTATTGCTATGAAATCAGAAAAACAAATACCTTCACAATTAAGTAGAAACTAAAAGCTCAGGTTATAAGGCTTCAACTTTTAAGGAATTTTTTCAGAAATACTGAAGAATGACAAATCAAGAGGAAAAAAAAAAAGATGCCTTTTAATGTTGTGGTAGTTTTCAATCACTGAAAACACCAGGAAATCCTTTGGCAAATAAACATTTCTTTACCAAGATTCCTCAGTGGCTCTAAAATTATAAACACAAAGAAAAGAATGAAAAATCTATTTGAAAAGAATATCCTATTTATAGCTAATATGCATTCTTTTGTTTTCCCAGTGGCCTATTATCAAAATTATAAGACAGAACAATAGTTAAATTTTCTGAGCCTTTACTAAGCAAGAGATGTTCCAAGCCTTGATATACATCAACTCATTCAATCTAGAAAACCATCCTAAAAAATAGAATCTGGGTAATATTTACTATGTGCACAGAAAGGCACCAGGTGTCACTCTTCTCATCCTTAAAGCTGTGGAACTCTGAGGACATCTGAGGACTTGGGACAATGGCTATTCTACCAAATAGCACAATCAATTCCTCAGCATTCACAGGGAACTGGATCCAAAATTCCCCCAAAGGATACCAAACTACAAGTATACAAAGTCCCTCAATAAAATGGCACAGCACTTGCATATAATCTATATACCTCCTGCAACTTTTTTTTTTAAATACCTCCTGCAACCTTAAAGCTAACTCTAGTTAGGTACTGGTGGCTCATGCCTGTAACTGTAGCTACACAGGAGGCTGAGATCTGAGGATTGTGGCTCAAAGCCAGCCCAGGTAGGAAAGTCTGTGAGACTCTTATCTCCAATTAACTGTGGTTCAAAGTGGTAGATCACTAGCCTGGAGCAAAGGAGTTCAGGGACAGCACCCAGGCCCTGAATTCAAATCCCATGACGGACAAAAAAAAAAAACAAAAAAAAACTACCTCTAAGATTAAATTACCTAACCATAATGCAAATGCTATATAAATGGTCATTCCACTTTATTGTTTAGGAAATGACAGAAAAAGTCTTTATAGGTTCAATTTTTCCTTCTCTTTTTTTTAATCAAGTTTTTGGGATCCAAGGGTGCAGCACCCCCAAGGAAGAGTGCTGAGCATATTCCATATTGCACTGGTGTCTACAGGACAGATGAACCTTGATCCTCACAGATGAGTAGCTGTGAGAGGGACTTGTCTCATCCATGGTTATACATGGGGAGTCCAGGCATAAGCATGTCACCCTGCTTCTCTGTCAAATATAACAACTTATAATCTGGAAGCTTTGCTAGACACAAGACCCCATTCCAAGTACTTCTCAAATATCAGTCCCATGTTACAGCAAAAACTCTATTCCTTTAACCTGCAATCATTTTTTTTTGGGGGGGGGGGTCCAATCATGGGGCCTGAACTCTGGGCCTGAGCGCTGTCCCTCAGCTCTTCAGCTCAAGGCTAGCGCTTTACCACTTGAGCCACAGCGCCACTTCCGGCTTTTTTCTTTTTGCTTATGTGGTGCTGAGGAATCGAACCCAGGGCTCAGGCATGCAAGACAAGCTCTCTACCACTGAGCCACCTTCCCAGCCCCCCCTGCAATCATTTTTTAATAGTGGTTTACAAACAACAACATGAAGTCTACAATATAAAACTCAGAAGGGAGCAAGATGCCATCCCATATTCCTCCTGATTAGCACTTCTGAGCAGGGACATCACTCTATTCTTCTCTCCACATTTCTAAAAGACTGACAGTGACTTTTATATAATCATATTCTTCATAAGTTATTACAAAATATAAATTCATGTGGTAATACTTCCAACTATGTACAGAACAGATTAACATCATGTGAATGAGTAACCCGCAACTGCACCCGTGATCCATGGGTGCTACACCAAAGGCCTGGCTTATCAGAGGACCTGTGCACAGAGGCCCAGCAGCTTGGGCATCATCTAGGAGCAAGTTGCAAGTGTAAGAATCTGGGATGGCAGTCCTAGAACTAAATCTTAACAATTGTCCAGTACACTGAAGTCTGCAAATCACCAATTAAACTACTTTGTTCAAACAAGTACTACTGTGGTTCCTGTTTTATAGATGAAGACACAGAGGCATAGAGAAGTCTAACCACGCAATTCACAGTGGGAATGACTGAAGCCAAAGCCTGTATGATACAGTACACAGAGTAGTTAATACTGTTGTTCCACACAGAGGACGCTGAAAATTTTGTATTTGCTTCTGAAAGTGCAAAATGCTCTTTATTCGACAGGCAACACACACTCTCTGTAAAATTCAGAAAATAGGGACTGGGAAGGTGGCTCAGTGGTAGAGCGCTTGCCTTGCATGCATGAGGCCCTGGGTTCGCATCCCCAGCACCACATAAGCAAAAAGAAAAAAAAAAGCCGGAAGTGGTGCTGTGGCTCAAGTGGTAGAGCGCTAGCCTTGAGCTGAAGAGCTGAGTGACAGCGCCCAGGCCCAGAGTTCAGGCCCCATGACCGGACCCAAAAAAAAAAATTCAGAAAATATACATATATAAAAAAATAACAAGCCAGTTGGGTATAGTAGTATATGCCTGTAATTCTAACACTTGGGAGGCTAAGGCAGGAAGATCAAATTTAGCCTGGGTGACACAGGAAGACAAAAGAAAGGGAGGGAGGGAGGGAGGGAAGAGAGAAGGAAGGAACGAAGGAACGAAGGAAGGAGGGAAGGAAGGAAGGAGAGAGAAAGAGAGAAAGAAAGAAAGAAAGAAAAGAAAAAAGAAAGAAGAGAAAAAGTACTACCCATGACAGAGATAAACATCTCAATGCCTATATTTCAATATCTTCTTTAGAGTCTTAATACAAACCTTAACTATGACATAATGGAAAAATAAAAAGTAATGTATAGCACGATGGTGTGAACTTCAATACATGCCACTATGAGAGAAAAAAAAAAGGTCCCCTCCAAAGGGACCTGACAGCAAGGGAAGGACCATCCCTGATGACAAGCCACCGGTCTAGTTCTACCCACCTGCTATATAAACCATGTGCTAGAGACCACATAGCCTCAATTATTTCCCAAGGCTCTATTTCTAGAAACAAAGTTACTGGGCGTACTTTCAAAACTGCTCTTGAGAGGGAATGTCAGTTGTTACTGGCCCTGAAAGTCTGAGGTAAACAAAGCAGCATGGTTACTAATGGACATCACCAGGCAAAAAAGACTGGGGTAACCAACATAATGAAAAACAAAAACAAAAAACCCTTCCTACCAGGGCCATGTTACTTTTAAACATCCTTGCAGGTGGATGCCTAGAAAATGGCTAAAGCAAGCTGTCCTTAGATCTTAAATGAATGATATGTATGACTCTAGGCATTCACACAGACTAACCAATGGAGAACACTTTTAGGGGAGTTACACAAAGGTGCAATGCCTGTGTGCCTCTGAAAATATAATACTTATTGAATGAACTCCAAGAATGGACACAAGAGGTGTGTTTTTTCCCTTTTTCTTTTGTTTGTTTGCTTTCCTAGCTTGTGGGGGGGGGAAGGGAGTAAAGAGGGCACAAAAATGGAGAGACATTAGGTAAACAAATGGAGCAGTGGTCCTCAGTAGAAATTATGTTGAAATGAACTACACAACTTGTAAGGACAGGAGGGAAAAACTGGCAAAGAACAAAGGTAGGGGTGACATTGCCCAAAAAGAAATATACTCTACCTGACAGGAAAAGAGAAAGGAAGTGTAGAAATATAAATTGAGACAGTTCTTCAGCAGGGAAAGTTTATAATATGTAGTTACAGAATTAGATCATAATACTCCAAACAGCCCATCAATCAATGATTAGATACATAAATTGTGATATACTCACTCAAAAAATAACTTTCAATATAATAAGGAAGGGCTAGGAATGTGGCTTAGTGGTTGAGTGCTCACCTAGAATGCATGAAGCCCTGAGTTCGATTCCTCAGTACCACGTACACAGAAAAAAGTGGCACTGTGGCTCAAGTGGTAGAATGCTAGCCTTGAGCAAAGATGCTCAGGGATAGTGCCCAAGCCCTGAGTTCAAACCCCAGGAATGGCAAAAATAAATAAATAAAACAATAAGGAAGACAAACTATAATTTGGATTATATAAAATGTGTACAGTCATGTGTACATGTGTGTACCATATACATACATGTATATATATATATATATGTGTGTGAAAGTTTTTAAAAAGAAATGTACTTATTACTTTGCTTATGACAAAGTAACCTCTCTGTATATCATCTTTATATTAACAATTTTTTTTTAATGTAAAAACCCCAAGCTGTCCTAAGGAAGAAGCCTGGCAGAAACACTTGCAACACTCAGGACACTCGGGACACCAGGGACGGGGACTGGGTCAGAACAGGTCAGCCAGCACATCCAAGTATCCTCTTCTAGTTCCCAACAATCCTCCCGACGCACTCAATGCCTCTGGTTTGTCTCCAGGACAGTCCAAACTAGCTGGACAGGATCTATTAATTATTATTATTATTATTTTTGTCGGTTGTGAAGCTTGAACTCAGGGCCTGGGCACTGTCCCTCGATTCTTCAGCTCAAGCCTCTTGAGCCATAGCATCACTTCCAAATTATTTTAAGTAACAATAAAAATTAGTAAAACAAATGGAAATTTGAAAAGAACAGTATCCCAAAAGAGCTGGGAGAGAAACAGTTGTTAAATGTCCTAAACTGATTTGAAAGAAGATCTCTGGGGACTGGGAAGGTGGCTCAGTGGTAGAATGCTTGCCTTGCATGCCTGAGGCCCTGGGTTCGATTCCTCAGCACCACATAAGCAGAAAAAGCCAGAAGTGGCACAGTGGCTCAAGTGGTAGAGTGCTAGCCTTGAGTTGAAGAGCTGAGGGTCAGTGCCCAGGCCCAGAGTTCAGGCCCTATGACCGACCAAAAAAAAAAAAAAACAAAAGAAAAAGAAAGAAGATCTCTAGAAGTATAAGCAATTCAGGTTTTAACATTGTTGTTTGTTTTTCTCTAATCAAACAACTCTTAGTATTGAGATTCAGACTATTGTAGAACACTAAGTGGGATCTTGCTCACTGTTTCATAGTTGTCCAGATCAGGGATGATGACCCAGGCCCTGAAGCGTTCTTCCCCCTGCTGCATGGCCCATGCTGATGTCTCTAATACATACACCTACTGCAATGTAAGGGTTGTTTTCACTTCATTACAATTACAATTTGTATCAACTAATAAAATGTACTTACCCCATCAACTGGAGATTTCCCTGGTGTAAAAGTCACTCGAACAAAACGTTTATTGACAACTTCCAGTCTGTCCACCTAAAATGTAGAAAGGTAAATATTCAAGCATAACTGTGCAGAAAGGCATGCCAAACCTACCAATAAAAACAAAGATCAGGGGCTGGGAAGGTGGCTCAGTGGTAGAGCGCTTGCCTTGCATGCCTGAGGCCCTGAGATCGATTCCTCAGCACCACATAAGCAAAAAGAAAAAAGCCGGAAGTGGCACTGTGGCTCAAGTGGTATAGCACTAGCCTTGAGCTGAAGAGTTGAGGGACAGCGCCCAGGCCCAGAGTTCAGGCCCCATGACAGGACCAAAAAAACAAAATAAAACAAAACAAAAAAACCACAAAGATCAGAGAAGGATCCCACACATTTGTACCTCTCACCACCCATAGAACACCCCCTTATATTGATACTACACCCCCTTATATTGACACTACACACTAGAAGGAATCCCAAATGATGCCCACATTTAATTTGGCCTATTTTCTACACACTAGAAGGAATCCCAAATGATGCCCACATTTAATTTGGCCTATTTTTAAACTGCTTTGTATTTGTTCTTCTACATTTTTCTTTTCCTTCCAACTTTATACTTGCTGGCATTTTGGTCTGTGGGCTCTTCTGCTTGATGAGCACACTAATTTACATCCATTCCCTATTAAAAGATAGGCTATTTCAACTTGTTCTTACTGCTCCTATGACCACTTCTGTACACAGTGATGAACCTACAGACACTAAGGCTGGGTTGGAGGGTATACATATTTTACCTTTACCTTTACTATTACCAAAGTGTGTTTCTATTATACTGTCAGCCTAATATTCTTACTGGTCTAAATCCCCACCACATTTGGTATTATAAGACTTTACCACTCCATAAGTACAGTATGTTTTTCAACTTCTTTTCTTTTCCCTTTTCTTCTGGTGCCAGTACCATGGCTTAAATACAGAGTTATTTGTTCTCTCTCAATGACACTCTTCCACTTGAGCCACACCATTTTAGCCTGGCTTTTTGCTAGTTAATTAGAGATGAAGTTTCAGAAACTGTTCTTTTGGGCTAGTTTTGAGCCTCAATCCTCAGCCCCCTAGGGTTATAGTTGTAAGCCGCCTAAGCTTAGCTAAAACTTGTTTTTTTCTCCCTAATTATACCAGGTTCTTAACAGCATGTTTAAACTTCTCATCCTAAGGACCGTTACTGTCAGCATGAGCTCCTTAAGACATGCTTATTTCTCATGATCCTGTCAGCAAGTCTGCAAAGGTTTGAATGACAAAGTAAGAGTCCAGAACAGTAGCAGAGAAGCTAGAACAGAGGAGTCAAGGCTCTTGGGTTGAAAAGGAAAGACTGTTTGGGGGCCAATTGATCAGGACCAGGTAGCAACTATCTTGGAGCAGCTGCTAACATATCTGGTAACTCTGCTGCAGGCCCATCCTTGCACACCAGAGTTACACTGTAACAAAGCAAGTTCTTAGCTTCTGAAGTTGAGATTCAGACCTTTGAGAGCCTCCCTTTCAAGAGGTAAACAACAATTGCTCCAATTTGAGAGGAAGGCAGGTATGGCTCAGTATGAACACTTGCCTACTTCTACTATATGCAAGGCACTGGGTTACATCCCCAGCATCACCAAGAAGGCTGAAGGATTGTATAAGACCAGCAAAGATTCAATCTCAAAACAAATGAATAAAGAAAAGGCTAAGATGTGGCTCAATATGCTGTAAGGCTGTGGGTTTAATCCACAGCACACATAGAAGGACAGTGCACGTGTGTGTGCGCGCGTACGCGCGCACACACACACACACAATCTGAGCAGGTAAGACAATGTTGGGAAGATGGTTGAGTAGGAAGCATCAGAAATCTGTCCAGCCATATATACAACCTCATGTGTCTGGTATAACCATCTAGGAACTCAGGAGTCTGTTAAAGGGTTATAACCTGTAAAAGCAGTCCATTTCAGCACTTACTGCTAGCAGCCACCCACCCTAGCTCTATCCTGGCTCTGCTCCAGGGCTGGCAGCTCCTAGAACAGCTGGTATATAAACTACAATCACCAGGAAAGGATAAAAGGACCTGTCCTCAAAGAGTAGCTCTATGTTCTCAAGTCAGAAGTAGTCCTTACTGTCTCTTCCTCCTGTGACTGAAGTGACTTCCAGGGACCTACAGGGCCAGAACTCTTGGTCCTTTTCATTTTTCTTTATTCCCTAATTCTGCAGCCAGATATTAAAGAGTAAAACATTAAAAAATAAAAAATAACAACTGCATTGACATTACCAAGTTTGTTCCTGGTACTGTGGTTCACACTTCCAGCTACTAGAGATGCCTGAGCAATGTTAGCAAGACCCCAGAAAAGTTGAGTATGGTGTGGTACACCTATAATTTACCCAGCTACTTCTAAACAGGAGGACTAGAGGTATAAATCCAGACCCCAACAAAAATTTTAAAACCCTATCTAAAAAATAAAGTAAGTCTCAGCACAAAGCCCAGAGTTCAAACTCCAGTAACTACCCTTCAAATTAGGAAACAATAAGAAATATGGAAATGGTACTGTGGCTCAAGTGGTAGAGCAGTAGCCTTGAGCTAAAGAGCTGAGGGACAGCGCCCAGGCCCAGAGTTCAAGCCCCACGACCAAAAAAAAAAAGAAAAGAAATTAACAAATTTGAGGAACAGAAAGAAAAATGAAGAGAGTTTAACTTAAGGAACCCACCAAGTGGACCAATTTACACATTGTAGGAGTCATAGAAAAGAAAAGGAAAAAAGAGTATTTTTTAAAAAATGGTTGAACCCCATTTGTTAGGAAATGGAAAGATTTGGAAAAAATTATATTAAGTGAAATAAGCCATGCCCAAAGAAACATAGGTCCCATGGTTTCCTTTATTTGCGATAACTAGTATATGTCTGAGACAAGCAGAAACAGTCAGACAAGTTGATGTTAGGCAAAATGAAGTCCAAGATAAGGACTCAAATGTTTTTTCTTTCTTGTGATTGTTTCTAGCATATTTATAAGATGATTTCTTTGTTGCTTTATATGTCCCTCCCCCACAGTATAAACCCTGTTTTCACTGTATTTGATGCTGGTATAATTTGGGGAGGGGAAGGGAAAAAACAAATTGTTTAAATAGGGATACATGTGGACCCATTGCAACAATGAGATGTACAAGACGCTATGTTGAAAAATGAACTTAACAATTTAGGCGGGGGAGAGGGGGGAAGAGGGGATAAGGGGGGAAGTGTAGTTGTGGAGATGGGAGGGAAGGGATGGTAGGGGAAAAACAAAGAAGGAGGCAACAATGCTTGATAAGAAATGTATTCATTACCTTGCCCATGTAACTGTAACCCCTCTGTACAGTATCTTCATAATAAAAAATAATTAATTTTTTAAATGGTTGAAAACTTCTCAAATTTAGTGAAAAACAAGAATAGTAACACCCAATCTCAATAAACTCAAAAAAGAAAACTCTCATTAAAAAACTTTCCAAAAACAAAATAATAATAAACATAGCAAGAGAAGCATTTCATCACATACAAGAGATCCTGAATAAGACTGAGATACTTTCTTTTTCTTTTAATTTTAGTGCCAGTCCTAAGCCTTGAACTCAGGGCCTGGGTATTGTCCCTGAGCTCTTTTGCTCAAGTCTAGTACTCTACCACTTGAGCCATAGCTCCACTTCTGGCTTTTTGGTGGTTAACTAGAGATTAGAGTCTCATGGACTTGTCTGCCTAGTCTGGCTTTGAACCATGATCTTCAGAGCTCAACTTCCTGAGTATTGCAAGCTGAGCAACTGGCACCCAACTTGTAATTTCTTTTCAGGAACTTAGAAGGTACAAGTAGTAGTACAATAATCAAAATAGTAATATAAAGAACCAAAAAACAAATTTGTCAGCCAAGAGTGATATACCTAGGAAAATACTTCTTCAAAAGTAGGGGAGATGGGTTGGGAAGAATGGGGGAAAATGATCAAAGAGTGACATTGATTAAGATTCATTGCATTCATTACTACTTTGTTGAATGGCAGATCCTTTATAAAACTACGTACAGGTAAAAACAAAACAAGATAAAATAAAAAACAAAGTAGGGGATAATTGAAGATATTTTCCAGATAATGAAAAGCTGAATGGTTTGATCACCAATTGTCTTGTCCTACAAGAAATGTTTAAGGAGGCAGGTATCAGTGGCTCATACCTGTAATCCTAGTTACTCAGGAGACTAAGATCTGAGGCAGACAAATCCTTGAGACTCTTATTACTAATTAATCACCAAAAAGCCAGAAGTAGAGGTATGGTTCAATTGGTAAAGCACTGGCCTTGAGTGGAAAAGCCAAGAGAGAGTATCAGCATACACAGACACAGATACATGCACACATACACAGACACAGACAGGCACACAGACACATACACAGAGCTTCAGGAATTCCTGCAAAGCAAAATACAGGAAAATCACAAATGGTAACCAAAAGTCAAATGAAGAACTAAAGAGACCACAATGGCAAATACAGAAACATTATAAAAGCTAGTATTACTATTCTTTCATTTGTACTCCCATACTTTGTTTTGAACATAATTTATGAGACTTGTATAAGTACACTTAAAAGAACTGCTAGACTGTGTTTTGGGCACACAAAATATGAAGATATAATTTGGTGACATTCCAATAACCAAAAAGGGTAGGTACAGGAAAATAACCTCCATTGTAACCACAAAGGAAGTAACTATAGACTATGAGAAAAACATTTAAATGTTTCAGTTCAAACCAATCAACTAAACACAAAGGACTAATGTATGAAATGAGGTACAAAAACTTTAAAACAAACATGAAATCAGCCAGGTGATTCACATCTATTATTCTAGCTACTCAGGAAGCTGAGATCTGAGGATTGTGGTTCTAAACCAGCCAGGGCAGGAAAAATCTTACCTCCAATTAATCACCAAAAGAAAAAGAAAAAAACAAAAACAAAAAAACCCACAAGTGCTAGCTTTGAGCAAAAAGTTCAGGGCTAGCATCCAGGGCCCAAACTCAAGCTCCAGTACTGGCACACACACAAAACAATAGTAAAATGACAGAAGTCCCTTAAGAGTAGGAGAATGAATATAAAAAATACAATCCACATAATGTTAAAGACTTACTGGAGATCTAAAGAAACAAAAAGACTGAAGTGAGAGGATGGAAAATGATGTCCCATAGTCCCATTAAATTGTAACCAAAAGAGCAGGAGTATACATGTATCAGAAACACTGACTTCAAATAGGAAAGTGTATTTTTTTTTAATCAAAAAGATTTTTAGCGCCAATACTAGCAGTACAGAGAAAAAAAAAAGCTAGAGACTATTTTAAACACATATATGCGGGGGGAGGGGGCTGAGAATGTGGCTTAGTGGTAGAGTACTTGCCTAGCATGCATGAAGCCCTGATTCCTCAGTACCACATAAAAAAAAAAAAAAAAGCTGGAAGTTGTGCAATGGCTCAAGTGGTAGAGTGCTAGCTTTGAGTAAAAGAAGCTCAGGGACAATCCCAATTCCAGAGTTCAAGCCCTAGGACTGGCAAAAAAAAAAAAAGATTAAAAAACCAAAAACTAAGTTTGTCTGCACCAGTTCTGGGGCTTGAACTCCACGTCTCATGCTCTCCTTTAGCTTTTTTCACTCAAAGCTGGTGCTCTACTAGTTGAGCCACAGCACCAAAAAACATGCAAACCATACTTCCCTGAAAACACTAAACTTTGAACAAAGCAAGAAGCATAGTACACAAATTCAGAAGAAAAGAGTCCTTCCCCTCCACCAAAAGTAGTTATTTCCTACTAATTTCACTGTGTTGTTCACTTGTAAAAGGCAGCAGGTGATACCTTGGAGTGCAGTCCAAGCCACTGTCCCTCACCTTTCTATCAGAAGCACCATGGCGGGAATCGGGAGGATCCTGACCCCACTGTTGACTTGGTATGATAGGCTTGAGCTTGTACACCACCGAGAGGGGTCTAAGGGAAGTGTTCCACCATTGCCGACATGTCCATGGTGTACAACCAACAGTCCAGGCATTCCAGAGGATTAGCCTTCCTGTATTTTGAAAGCATACATGACACCAAAGAGGCCAAAGAACATGCCAATGAAAAGGAGCTCAACAGGCAGTGGATCAGAGTGGATTTCTCCATAACAAAGAGACCACAAAGCCCAACACCTAGAGTATATATGGGAAGACCTACCTATGGTGGATTGAGATTATTACAGTAGATAGTACCAGGGAGGGGGATTGAGAGCCCATGTATAAAAGGAAACCTCCCTACTATGCCCATGGAAGTACTTCAGTACTTCCTTCTCAGTAATGGAGAAAATAGATTTAAGACCGACAGGAAATAGAGGATATAAGCATAATAAAACAACTGTGTCTAATCTATATACAAAATACTCCACCCAACAACAGCATACACATTCTTGATTTCCAAGCAAATGTAAGATTTTCCAAGACAGTCTAATCACAATAGAATGAAATTAGAAATTCAAAACAGGATGAAAACTAAAAATGCACAAATCTGAAGAACTAACACACTTAGACAATCAATAGGTCAAGGAAGAAATCACAAAAGAGAATGGAAAATACTTAGAGATCAATGAAAACAAATCCACAGTATATCCAAACTTACAGGACACAGTAATAGCAGAACTAGTTCCAGAGAAAGAACAAACTAAACCTATAATAAGCAGAAGGAAGGAAAATAAAACATAAAGATTAAAATAGAGAAAAGATGAAAGAGTGAGGAAAAATAGAGGGGTAGAGAGGTCTAACACATGGTAAATTGCTTTTAAGCACAAGGCTCAGAGTTCAAACTCCAATAATGAAAAGGAATACAAAAGAAAAAAACCAATGAGGGGCTGGGAAGGTGGCTCAGTGGTAGAGCGCTCGCCTTGCATGCATGAGGCCCTGGGTTCGATTCCTCAACACCACATAAGCAAAAGGAAAAAAAGCTGGAAGTGGCGCTGTGGCTCAAGTGGTACAGTGCTAGCCTTGAGCTGAAGAGTTGAGGAGGGACAGTGCCCAGGCCCAAAGTTCAGGCCCCACGACCGGACCCAAAAAAAAAACCCAAAAACCAATGAAACCAAAAGTTGGCACATTGGAAAAGATCATCAAAACTGACACTTATTGCTAGATGAACTAAGAAAAAAAGAAATAAGATTCAACTCACTAAAACCAGAACTGAAAGTATGTGTATATTAACACTGAATAAAGAAATAAAAAGGAATATAACAACGTACCATTGGCTGGGTGTGGTGGTGCATACACCCAACTACTCAAGAGGTAAAGATTGGGAAGATCAAGGTTCAAAGCCAGTCTAATAAAAAAAAAGCTAGTACTTCATTTCAATCAAGCCAGGTATAATGATGCACACTTATCATCCCCACTACTCAAGAAGCACAAGTAAAAGACTACAGGCTGGGTCCATCTCTAGGGAGAAAAAAAATCTAAGACCTTATTGAAAAGACTAGATTAAAAAAAAAAAAAAAGAGTCCTGAGGGCATGACTGGTAGAATACCTGCCTAGAATTTTATGATGCAACTTTGTATTTATTCAAAAGAATTGAAAACAGAATCTCAAAAAGGCCTATGTATATACAATGTTCAAAGCAGCATTATTCACAATAGTTAAAATATGGAAGAACTGCACAGTGTCCATCAATGATAGATAAACAGGTAAATAAAACATGGAATGTATTTATGTGTACAGGTGTACATGTGTATATATACATATGCACACACAACAGATTATGCACCTTTAAAATGGAAGACATTCTGACAACCAACCAGGAAAGACAAATATCTATGACTCTATTAATATGAGGTATCTCTAGTCAGAATCACAGAGGAAAAAGTAGAACATAGTTGCCTGGTAGGGGCCTTAAGAAGGAGAGAATGAGTACCACTGTTTACTGGGTAGTTTCACTTGTTTAAGATAAACATTTTAGAGATGCATAACAGGGATGATGGTACTTATGGATGGATTTAGTATAACTGTATACATTTAAAACTAATTGTATACATTTAAAAATAATTGTTGTTTGTATTTTACCAAATGAAAAACTGGGGAGAAAGAAAAGATAAGGATGAAAAGATTAACTGCATGCTAACTTCACTTAAGAAAATACTAGTGAAAATAATTTGAAATGAGAATGTTATTAATGAATTATGCATGTTACCCATAAAAAGGTAAAATTACTTCAACAGATGGTAAAACAAAGGAAAAAAAATCTGTTCCAAGTCACCTTAAAAGAGTGACAAGAAGTTGAGTGCTAGTGGCTCACAGCTGTAATCCTATCTACTCAGGAGGCTGAGATACGAGGATCACAGTTCAAAGCCAGCCCAGGCAAGAAAAGTCTGTAAGACTCTGATATCCAATTAACCATCTAAAAACCAGAAGTGGAGCTGTGGCTCAAAGAGGTAAAGTACTAGTCTTGAGCAAAAAAAAAAACTCAGGGACAGCTCAAGCCCAAGTTCCAGGCCCATGACTGACCAAAAAAAAAAAAAAAAAAGGTCACACACACATATACTTCCTCAATGTACTTATAATAAGCATTAATTATTTGGAAGGACAGCCACTTGTCACAAAAGTGAAATGCTAGTAAGTTTAAAATCAAGAGCAAATCACCATTTATAATCATTATTCCATTCTTCTTGTGACTTCTGACCAACCAATACACAAAATAGTATTATTTACCTTTTATTATATATTTACTTGATACCTCCCTTTTTTTTTCTCTTGAACTCAGACACTGAAGTGGTTCAAAAGGTAAGTTTTTTTTTTACTTGCTTGTTTAAGACAGGGGTTTCCTATATAGCCAATCTAGCCTTGAGCTCTCATCTTTTATTTAGTTATCTGATCTTAACAGTTTCATCCACAGCAGAAATTACTTGACAATGATGTATCTTGGGTCTGCAACACATCTGTGCAGATGGCTATTTTCACTTCTATACTCACCTCCTGTACCACTTGTAGACATACGTTACATTCTTCATACTACCTTAGTAAACACTAATATTTTTATCTTATCCAACTCATTAGCAAAAACCTTATCATCAAGAGGCTAAATAATTTCCCTAATGTTGTTTAGCAGGCCTAATGCATGTTCTTACTAACATTATATGCAGCAATTTCCAAGATGTCCATGTTTCCTACTTTAAAGTCTTAAAATTAGAATCCAGTTTATAATTGATGGCATGTCATACTGTCATTGGAAGCTTATTAACTTTTTCTTAGTAATACATATAATGTACCTTATAGTCAGCAACATCTTAAATACTCTTGGCAAAGACCCAGGTGGTAACAACACAAGCTTCCCAACAGACAGAACATAGCCTAGGTGGACCATACTAGAAGACTGGTTGCTCTTAGTGGGCACAGCTCTGGCTGGCCAGCAAGCCCACAGGAGTGAAAAAGCAGTGAGGACAGGTAGAGCCAAGAGGCCACCAAAGGCAGAAGATACAGGAAGAGGCAAGAGAAGCCAATGTGAGAAAGACAAAAGAAATAAAGGATCACTAGGTCCTAATGAGACACACTGCTTCCCAAACCAGGCTCTATTCTGAAGTGACATGAAAGAGCCCTGTAGTAAAATCTGTGGCTGCTGGTTCAAAACAAACAGGTTCTTGATTATAGTAGAAAACAGTAACTTTATGATCAACAAATTCAGCTAACTCAGTGACTGTTTATCACTCTTGGTCTAATCTACTGAATATCACCTGGTGAATCATGGCAGCCATCAACCCCATACAATACTTACTACTCCTTTAGAAAGATAGTTATTGACAAAATCCTTCCAAGTGATTTCTCTTCCAGAGTTCTTGAACATGATGTAGAGCATGACTCCACCCCAAAACAGAGCAGTCCAGAGAAAATACAACCTGAAATCCTTGTCATCCCATGGGAAGTCACCCTAGACAAAAAGGGAGAGTTTCTATAAAACAAAATTGCATAATATCATCTATGCTATATGAGACACAAGTCTCTTACAACCTTCCCTGGGCCACATTTGCAAGCTCAAAATCAACATAGTTTAAAATCAAACCTTCTGGAACCTGGACCACCAGTGAGAATCATCTTTCTTGCCTCGGCGTTTTCCTCCACCACCTCCTGCCCCTCCAGAAGAGCGTGGGGTAGCAGCTGGCTTTGTCTCTATCAGGAAACAAAGAGGACACACAGCAGCGTTGCAGTGGTTTCTAGCTGACAGCAAGGCTTCCAGGCTCATGGGTCCACAAAGGCCTTGGTGCAAAGTACAATATGCCCATTGGCTGGCTATAGCACCATGAAAACGGCCAGCCCTGAGCTCATTCTTTGCATTCTGAGTGTACATTTGTTCCTCTAACTAGATGGTAAGTTCATTTTAAAGCAAAGGCTTGAGCCAGGTACCACTGGCTCATGCCCATGATCCTAAATACTCAGGAGGCTAAGAACTGAGGATCATGGTTCAAAACCAGCCCGGATTATCTCCAATTAACCACCAAAAAGCCAGAAATAGAATGCCAGCTTTGAGTGGAAAAGAGACAGACCCCGAGTTTAAGCCTCAGTATCTGTGTAAAAAAAGAAAAGAAAAAAATGGGGGATATTAAGACTTTGACTCCCACTTCCTATATGGAGAGCAGGAAATACTTCTCTTTCTCTATTTCTCCTACTTTAATCCTGTCACACTAAAACAAATCCTTGTTAAAACTTAAAAAAAAAGAAAAAAAGAAAAACTGGGTGCTGGTGGCTAACACCTGTAATCCTAGCTACTCAGGAGACAGAGATCTGAGAATCGTGGCTCGAAGCCAACCAGGCAGGAAAGTTCATGCGACTCTTTATCTCCAATTAAATACCACCACAAAACTGGAAGTGGAGCTGTGGCTCAAAGTGAAGAGTACTAACTTGAGGGAAAGAACTCAAAGATAGCACCTAGGCCCTACAACCAACAAAAACAACAAAGTGCTAGGCTAAGAATGTAGCTCAGTGGCAGAGCATCTACTTAGCATTTGGGAGATCCTTGGTTCAATCTCCAGAATTAATTACCTCTGTGAACAAAAATACTCAATGGCTAATTTATATTTTTCCTTATGTTTCCCTAAACAGAAAGGAAGCCAACTGAATGCAACAGATGTCAGGCACTGTGCTAAACAGTATGGCACTTATGAGATGGGGTTAGGAAGCTGAAAGCTCACACACACATACCTCCACCCTCCCAGGCCTAAGCAATGCTGTCTGAATTCATAAGGAAAGACAAGGCCCAGTTAAGGTTCATGTGGTTTTCACAGCACTACACAGTATCACAACATGTCACATAAGAGCTTCTCAATAGCTTAAAGTATATGTCAGATTTATCTACTAGTCTTAGTCAATCTTATTTAAGGTCTTCAATGTCTCTAAGGTCTAAATATCTTCAATTTGCAAAAGGACGGGAAAATATGTACAGAAAATGAAGGTAAACTGAAATCTAGAACCTATGAAACTTTATGTATGGATAACCACTAATGTCAGTGCTGACTGTTAGTGGTCATCATTATTTATTAGGAAAAACAATAAACTCTAATACTATCTTTTTAGCGGGTACCTTTTTTGTCTCCCGCAGTTTCTTTGGGTTCTGTTGCAGTTTTTCCATTTTTCCCATTAGGAAAGTATTTTTCAAATCCTGTTAAGGAGAAAAAAAATCCTCAAATTAAAATTCACCATGTTTTGTATATATGCTGTTTTCTATAATACTGACAAGCCACTATAAAGCCAGTTAGCTGAAAGTTTGAGAAAATTGCTTGTAGAAAAGTAATCAAAATCTAAATAATACATTCACAGTTTGAAAGTGCTAAAGACAAAAGATTCCTCTAAACCAATTTCATCATGTATAAAAACATTCCATGTATTTTCATGACTATAATCCAAGAGTAGTTGGATGTCAGGGAACGGGAACAGGGGAGACACAAGTTTAAGAGTCATCTCCAGAAACTAAAACATGCACCTACTTAGCAAACACCTACAGGTTATATCTCTTTAACAAGAACACAGGACATTATGGTCACACCTAAGCACTTACCTTTGGGAGGTCGAGAACAGAATCTTTTATAAGCAGCAATTACATCTGTCAGAACAGAGTTTCTGCTGCTTGTTGCTTGAGAGGTAGCATACCGATAAAGCTGCAACAGGACAAAGATATAAGCATGAGGACCACATAGAGAAAAAGATGCAAAAAGCGTTTTATTTCCTAATATCACAAAGTGAACAAGATGTTTCTCTGTCCTACAAATGATTAGAAACTAGCACAAGATGACTACTTTGAGAAAGGACCAAGGTCAGATGGCACTACGCCACATATATTAGCCACAGAATCAGGAGACACTCTATCACCCAGAAGATAAGAATACTTTACTAGAGCAGAATTTAGAATTATATCCACTTTATAATTACCCAACAGCACATTCACTTTGGCAATCTGTACTAATTTTCAGAATTCAAAAGACTAACTTGACAGGAAAAGCTGCTATTCCATGCTGACTCATTTTTACAGTCTTCAAGGTGTTTGTCTGAAATTACAGACCAGTACTGCTTGCAAACATACTAACTTTATCAATTTAATGATAAATTTAAGGCCAAATATCATCGATATATATTCTAGCAACAAGTGATACAGCTATTTGATAGATCTGTCATCTGATGAGAAACATACAAGTCCCATGAAGACACATCTCTCTGCTTTATAGAACATATGTTGCCACAGAGGTGTTTTTTGAAGGCAGGGATGTAGTTTAGTGGCATGCCTGAAGCAACACAAAAAGAAAGTATTAAAAGGTTGAGGGGCTGGGGTGTATCTTAGGTACTTACCTAGCAAGCCAAGGGCCTGAGTTCAAACCCTTAGTAATGCCAAAAAAGGTTCTCTGTAGCTAGGTATGGTGGTCAGTCAGGCTTGTAATCCCAGCTTCTTACTAAGTGGAGATTCAAGTTCAAGACCAGCCCAGACAAAAAGTTAGGAAGACAAAGAAAAAGAAAAATCAACAAAAAAAGCCAGGCATAGCTAGGTGTTGGTGACTCACACCTGTAATCCTAGATACTCAGGAGGCTGAGATCTAAGGATTGCGGTTTAAAGCCAGCCCCGGCAGGAAAGTTCATGAGACTCTTATCTCCAATAAACCACCAGAAAACCAGAAGTGTTAGCCTTGAGCTGAAGAGCTGAGGGACAGCGCCCAGGCCCAAAGTTCAAGCTCCACGATTGACAAAAAGAAAAAAAAAAGCCACTCAAGCTAGGTAAGTCAACAAGGGGAATCAGAAAATCCCTAAGCCCAATTCTCCCTCCAAAGGAATGGAGACTTGGCTCAAGTGGTAGAGTAGTGCTTATGAGCAAGAAAGACAAGAGTGCACAATGCCCTAAGTTCAAAGCCCAGGACCTACACACACACACACACACACACACACA